TGTGATAAGGTCCTTAGTAGCACATCATGGCATCAGAGGTTTTGACAAGAACTAGACTTTGGAATGCCTAGATCTGGGCTGTTACAACCCAGAGACATCCATGATATACATCCATTTCCTCATGAGAGAGATTTTTCCAAGTATTTATTTATTTTTTTTTATTTTTTCCTCTTGCCAATCTATATAGTACTCAAGCTTGTTTCAAATCCTAAAAGTTAAAACAATGGACAGTAATAGAAATGATGAACCATTAATATAAATCCATTTAAAGAAACACAAGTAAAAAAAATCTAAAAGCAGAAGTAATGCGAATTTAGGAACAATAATCAGGAAAGTTTTTCTGAAATAAAACAGTTTTCACTAATGTTTGAAAACCAAGCAGCAGTGTGAACAGATATCCTCAAATGTGCTGCAGCTGAAAAGCCCCTTCTCTGAGCCCATGTCACTCCTTCTGTTGGTGGTAGTGGTGAGATCTGAAGCCAAGCCTCAGAAAAATAATGGTTACTTCTTTTTTGAAAAGTCTGTGGGAAAAATATTCTGTTGAGCCTTTCCCCATTTGTTGCACTGCTTGTTTCATTTTTGTCCTCGCCTAGGAGGAGGAAAAAAAGAGAGTCAGCATGGTGTAGTGGTTAGAGCACTGGACTATGATTCTGGTGACCGAAGTTCAAATCCTGGCTCTTTTATGAAAAAATACTGGGTGACCTTGTGCAAGTCAAGTCACAGTCTCTCAGCCTCAGAGGGGCAAAGTCAAACCCTCTTTGGACAAATCTTGCCAAGAAAACTCTGTTATAGGTTTGCCTTAGGAATAGCTAAATAGAATGGAATAGCTAAAGCGGGGGGTATTGCAGTGAAATAGTGAACCCGGAAGTGCTTTGGATGTTCTGGGGGGATTAAGAGAATACCAACCTCTGCAACAACCTTCCAAAATACATATGCAAAAACCTTTTTCATATGAGGCTTTAAAATCATGATACACATTGGATAACAGCACCTTTGAGCATACTTATCATACAGCGCCATCTTTCTCTGATCACTGCCTTGAAGCATGATTAGCTATTGATAGAAAACCCATCAATAAGATCCCAGTATCACTGATATAGCATTAGTCCTCAAGTGTGGTAAGTTACTCTCATCGCAGTTCCAGGATTATGCAGTCACATGGTACCAGTGTCTCCTCCCCTCTCTCTCACTATTCCAGAACAGCCAAACATAAATACTTTTACACTTGTGAGTTTATTGCCTCCTTTCTTTTGGGGGTTAAACTGTATTAGCACTACTCTCGAATTGCATTAAAACACATATACACACGCATGGCACACTGGATAGGGCATAGGGCAGGGAGGTGGAATTAGATAAGGGCATTAGATAAGGGCATGAGAGTTTAGCAACAGCCTGGTGATGCTATTGAAGGCATGTGCAGTAGGGAGTGCTTTCAAACCAGTATGTAGGCACCTCTCTTCATTAACATGATCATGGTAACAATAAACTCCCAAGTGTAATAACATTTACATTTCTATACTGCGTCATAATGAACTCAGCACTCTCACATGGTTACAATCTGTAAGCCAGTTGCCTCCAACAAGCTGGGTACTCATTTTATTTAGCTATGAAACCCAGAGCCCTGGGATCCAACTCACAACATTGTGGCTGGAGTATCAGCATTTAACCACTGCACCACCAGTGCTCAAGGTGGACTTACATTTGTATATGTCACTAACAGGATGCCAGCCAGTGTCAACTATTTTCCAGTTCCAAAGTTCTCACTTGTATTGGGCACTGGCCACACTAGTAATACAACTACTGTATTTTTCGGTGTATAAGATGACTGGGCATATAAGACAAACTTCAACTTTTCCAGTTAGTTTGGTATATACCTCGCGTATAAGACTACCCCTCTTCCAACGGGGGGAAATAAGAAAGTGTTGGGGGGAAGGACTGCCAATATATTAGATGATGCATTTCGGGGTATGTACAATTTGCAGCCAAGTAAGTGACCCTGGTCATGTCACACACTCTCAGCCTCAGAGGATGGTAATGGCAACCCCCATTTGAAGAAACATGCCAAAAAAAAAAAAACACAACAACCCATGATAAGGTTGTCTTAGGGTTGCCATAAGTCAGAAAGGGCTTAAAGACACACAAGAACAACAAAAAAGTCTGCAATTGTTTCATAGG